TGGGTGAGCTCATGCTGGCTGAAAAGAGAAGTATTTCTGAAGAAGCTAGTTTGGCAGCTTGGGAGAGGACTGGTTTCCCTGGCAAGCAGCAGGGTTATCTCAACGGGCACTTCCTCCTGGCAGCACATCCTCACCTGACTCCAGGAGCCTTCCCTGCAGAATGAGCAGAGGAAGGAGAGGGCACTTGGGGCTCTGTGTGGATGCACTCAACAGGAGAGCTCCTCAACTTCTCCCCTCAGACACTGCCCTGGGACAAAAACCGTGCATATCTTCTTAGTAAGTGTGGCTTCTGGCAGGATGGGCAGAGCACTGTGCTTTTCCAGCATCAGATCAAGACGAGAAAGAATAATTTCCAAATGTGAGGCCACAGAGGAGATTCCCTGTCCATGAACTGGGCCTCCAGGTTGGAAGCAAGTTGAAACAAGAGTCTGAGCCATAGCAGAGCTGGATGAGCAGGGTGAGAGGGCCTTCCAGGCACATCGGCTCATCCCCCTCCAAGACCAAAGAGTCTGAGGATCCCATTAAGGGACACGTTTAAAACACATAAATACCTTTCCAATCCCATCTCATTACCATGACCGACCTCACAGGAAGTGCTGAATTTCCCTATTTCACACCTGAAGACCTAAGGCATCTAGAAATCATTGGCTGGAAGGGCATGGGGTTGGAGGTAGAACCTAAGATAGCACAGAATACACCTAATAGGCAAGGATGTTGAACCTTCAGCTCACATGCTTTGGGAAGTTGTCAGGATGGACCCGTATGTGCTGAGAAAGGTGAAAGGTCAGAGAAAGAGAAGATGATCCTCAACAAGATGGACTGACAGAATGACTGTAACAATGGGCTGGAGCATGTTGGCAAGCATGAGGATGATACAGAACAGGAAGCGGTTCAGGTCTGTAAACAGAGTCACAGTGGACTTAATGGCCCCTAACAACAATAACAGCTGAGCTCTGTTGCATATAGTGTACTATGTGTTACATTGTTAGCAAAAAGGTGAGAAGTCTCAAGCTACCAGTTGTTCTGTGGGAGAAAGACAAGCATTACTCTCCCAAAAAAATATTTATAGCCTTGGAAGTCTAAAGTCTAATTTAAAGACTCCTTGTCCTGATGAAGGTTTGTTAGGAACTGGACTTAATTCCACAGCAGTGGGTGTTTTAGATCATCTATTAGTTTTTATTAAATTTCCCAAGGATTTTAAATTCTCATTGGTACAACCCTTAGGTATATTTATTAGATAAAGAGGTTTCATATAGGGAGCTGCAGAGGAATGAGTTTTTCCAAGGCAGAATATGGCTCTGCCTCTGTGTAATGCTACCTCTCCTCTATTTGCCCTGGCAATCCTGTTTCCCTATGGGTGAAGTAAGCGGAGACTCCAGCCTGACCCTATTGCTGCTCAGGGCCCTGCCTCAGTAAGTAATCTCTAATAAAACTACTGTACCACCATGCAGTTACTAACCTCCTTTTTGGCTCTCTCAGCCCTGTAGGGCAATTTCAAATTACTGGTCCAAGATTTGTCCAAAAATAAAGAGATTAAGAAACTTGTTCAAAGTTAAGTTGTAAAATCAAATGGCACAACTTGGATTTTAACACAGATCTTTCATATTTTGATGTTTCCAATAACCAGATTAAGGAGTCCTGATTGTGTGGTACATTAGGTGTTGGACTCCTAACCTGAGGTATGGCAGTTTGGATCCATTAGCTGAGATAAAGGATAAAGATGAGAGACTCTTCCTGTTAAGCCTCAGTAATTGTTGTTGCTCAATGCCACTGAGTCAAGGACAACCCTTAGTGACCATGGCCAACAGATCTGAACCTTGCCCTATTCTGTACCATTCTCACCATTTCTAATACGCTCAAGTCCATTGTTACAGTCACTGTGTCAAGCTATCTTGTTGAGGGTGTTCCTCTCTTTCTTTGACCCTCCACCTTCCCTGTTGTTGTTGTTGTTATGTGCCTTCGAGTCGCTTGTGACTCATAGTGACCCTATGTACAACAGCTCTAAACTCTGCTCTGTCCTGTGCCAATCTCATTGCCTCTGACACTCTCATCCCAATTGTCCCAGTCACTGAATCAATCCATCTCCCACAGGGCCTTCCCCTCCTGCGCCTGTCCTCCACCCTCCCAAGCATGATGTTCCTCTCCCAGGACCGGTGTCTCCTTACAACATGACCAAAGTATGTCAGACGAAGCCTCAGAAAACTTGTCTCCAAGGAGCAGCCAGGTTTAACCCTCTCAAGGATAAATCTGTTTGTTTTCCTTGCAGTCCATGGCACCTTCAGCACTCTTCTCCAACACCAAAGCTCAAAGGCATCAATTCTCCTTCTATCCTCCCTGGTCATTGTCCAGCTCTCTGATGCATAACAACTGATTGTGAAGACCATGGCCTGTACCAGACACACCTTTGTCTCCAGAGACATACCGTTGCTCTTGAGTACTTTAGAGAGGTCCCTAACAGCAGACTTTCCCATGGCAATACGTCTTTTAACTTCCTGGCTGCTGGTGCCAAGAGTGTTGATTCTGGAGCCAAGCAGACTAAAGCTGTGAACAATTTCAATCTCTTCACCATCCATCCTGATGCTGCCAATTGGTCCAGTGGTGAGAATCTTTGTCTTCTTGACATTGAACCTCAATCCATATTGAAGGCTGCAGTCCTTGACCCTCAGCAGCAAACACTTCAGGTCCTCCTCAGTTTCAGTAAGCAGGGTTGTGTCATCTGCATAACGCAGATTGTTTATGGATCTTCCACCAATCCTGATGCCACATTTCTCCTCATAGAGTCCAGCCTCCCAGATGATCTGTTCTGCATACAGGTTGAAAAGGTATGGAGACAGGACACATCCCTGGCGTATGCCCTTCCCAATTTTGAACCATGCAGTGTTTCCTTGCTCTGTTCTGACAACTGCCCACCTTCCCTAGCATGATGTATTTTTTCAAAGACTAACCCCTACTGGCAACATGTCCAAAGTATATGAGTTGAAGTTTCACCATCTTTGCCTCTAAGAAGCACCTTGGTTACACTTTCTCCAAGACAGACTTGTTTGTACTTTTAGCAGTCCATGAGATACTCAATATTGTTCTCCAACACTACAATTCAAAGTCATTGATTCTTCTTTGATCTTTCTTACTCATAGTCCAACTTTCTATGTATAATAGGAAGCAATTGAAAATATCATGGCTTGAATCAGGTGTACCTTAGTCTTTATATTGATGTCTTTGCACTTAAGCACTTTGGAGAGATCCTTCACAGCAAATTTCCCCAGTGTAACATATCTTTTAATTTCTTGACTGTTGATACCATAGTAGTTGATTGTGGATCCAAATAAAATTAAATCACTTGACAACTTCAAACTCTGGCTAACTCTGAGAAGAATGAGAATCCCAACACACTTGATTGTGCTTATGCAAAACCTATACTTGGAGCAGGAGGAAGTTGTTAGAACAGAACAAGGAAACAATACATGATTTAAAATTGGGAAGGGTGTACACCAGCAATGTGTTCTTTCTATATACCATTTCTTTCTATATGCAGAACCAGATCATCTAGGAGGCTGGGCTCATGAGGAGGAATCATGTGGCATCAGGATTGAGGAAGACCTGAAGCACTTACTGCAGGAGGTCAAGGACTGTAGCTTTCAACGTGGATTGAAGTGCAACATTAAGAAAACAAAGATTCTCACCACTGGGCCAACTGGCAGTATCATGATAGTGAAGAAATTGAGATTGTTCACAGCTTTAGTTTGCTTGGCTCCACAATCAGCACTCTTGGTACCAGTAGCCAGGAAATCAAAAGACGAATTGCACTGGAAAAGTCTGCTGTCAGGGAAATCTCCAGAGTAAAGCAATGATGTTAGTGTGGAGACTAAGGTGCACGTGAGCCAGGCCATGGTCTTTCCAATTATGTGCTGTGTATCAGAAAGCTGGACAATGACGAGGGATGATAGAAGAATTGATGCCTTTGAGTTGTGGTGCTGGAGAAGAGTAGTGAATATACCATGAATTGCTAAGAGAACAAACAGGTTCATCCTAGAGAAGGTGAGACCAAGCTGTTTCTTGTAGGTAAAAATTCTGAAGTTCCATCTAAAATAGTTTGGACATGTTGCAAGGAGGGACTAGTCTTTGGAGAGAGACATTATGCTTGGAAGGGTAGAGGGACAGCACGGGAGGGGAAGATCCTTGATGAGATGAATTGACTCAGTGACTGGGTAATGGGAGTAGGTGTGTCAGAGATAATAAGGTAAGCAGGGTCCAGAGCTGAGGTAAATAGGGCCACTATGAGTTGCAGACAACTTGAGGGAACATAACAACAATATTGACAACTTCAATCTTTTTTTCTATCATGATGTTTGTTGTCTACTGGCCCAATGGTGAGAATTTTTGTTTTCCTGATTTTGAGATGTAATCTACATTGAAGGTTGTAGTCTTTGATATTATGCAGCAAATGTTTCCAGTCCTCCTAACTTTCAACAAGTAAGTTTGTGCCATCTACAAACTTGTTGATGAGCCTGTCTCCAGCTCAGAGGGCCCTTGAAATGGACCATTAGGCAGTGGGTACAGTTCAGTATTTAGATAAGCAAGCTATCTCACTCTCACAACATCTCCATACATACTTATCAGTGCCCAGCTCAGTAGAGATAAAGGGTATTGTTGTAGCTGAAACGGGAGAGTTTTTTCCCCTATATTTAGTGATGTTATTTATTTTAATAAATATTTGAAAAACATAGCCAGCATGTTAAACCGGTGACTTCATGAATATTGGCATTTATGATGAGGTTAAATTTAAGTTTAGAAAAGGAGCGACTGTAAAGACATGTGAGGTACATAAATGTAATTCCAAGATATGACCAGGAGTGAAGAGGAGCTGACATCAGCATGTCCCCACCAGGTCCCTTCTCACTTGGTCCCCTACCCCCCACTGGTGAGGGTGAGGGTGGACCACTGGCCCTTTGCTGTGGATTAGGGACCCCTGGCCCTCTGCTGTGGATGGAGCACTCACTCACCGCCAGAATCGTGCGGTCCCTCTCCACAAGGTCTGCCAGCTGGTGCAGTAGCTGGCCTCGTTTCAGGGCGTCGAGCCTGCGCCAGGGTGAGCCTCGCTGGAAGGCAGCCTGAGCAGCCTCCACTGCTTTGTCCACGTCAGGCTATGGAATAGACCAGAGAGTGGAGGTCACCTTCTGAGATATTGATTGGAAAGGCTGTGCAGACAGGTCACAGAGAAAGGTAGGCAGGGTTGTGTCTTCTTCCCCAGTAGTCCCAGTGTACTGGGAGGCAGGTGGGTTGAGAGCCACAGCCATGTATTAATTTCTTCAGTGACCAAGAAGTAACTTCTTCTAATTAGAAAGGTGTTTTAAGATATCATAACGTATCTTGATTATAATACAACATATACTTTAACATCAAAATGAAAGAAAAAAGGAGAAAGCTCTAGTAGGTAGGAAGCTGGCTGCCAACCAAAAGGCTGATAGTTCAAATCCACCAGCAGCTTCATGGGAGAAGGATGAACAATCTTTTACCTGTGCTTTACATCCTTAGAAAACTCAACAGGTTCAGCTAGGACTCATACTTTAACATATGTTGTTGCTGTGTACCATTGAGTCTGAACTGACCCATAGTTGTCCCTAAATGTGTTTTCAGAGGCAGCCATCCTGCAGAGCAGCTAGTGGATTTTTTCTACAATTTATTTTTAATTTTATACTAGTTAATTTACAAATTTTTAATACATTGTTTTTAAGAACAAGTTCTTTCAATTTTCCTCACCCTTCCCCCATGAAATTGTACAAACCCACGATTAATCCCCTCTCCCCTTGCACATCCTCATTCGTCTGCTTCCAACTTCTCCCACCCCTCTTGAATCCTTATACTCATCTACAATAATGGTTTTATACAATGTTCATCCTTGTGGGACTGAGTTAGTTCACTCAGCATAATGTTCTCCAGTCCCTCCCAAGTTAGGTAATAATTTAAAAAATCATTGCTCCTGTGTGCTGCATTTCTGCAAGACACAAATAAAGACCTAAAGAAATGGGAAAATGTGCCCTATACATGGATAGGAAGACTCAATACTGTGAAAATTACAATTCTACCAAAAGCAATGCAATCCCAATCCAGATACCAAATCCATTTTTCAAAGAGATTGAAAGGGAAATAATCAAATTTATTTGGAGATGCAAGAGACCCCGAATAAGCAAAACACTTCTGAGAAACAAAAATGAAGTTGGAGGCATAGCACTCCCTGACCTCAATACCTACACAGCAGTAGTAACCAAAACAACATGGTACTGGTACAATGACAGGCACATAGACCAACGGAACAGAACAGAACTGAGAACCCAAAAATAGACCCATCTATCTATGGTCAACTAATATTTGACAAGGAAATCAAAGCTATCAAATGGAGAAATGATAACCTCTTCAACAAATGGTGCTGAAAAAACTGGACTTCGACATTCAGAAAGCTGAAACAGGATCCACATCTCACACCATATACAAAAATCAAGTCAAGGTGGATCAGAGACCTGGGAGTAAATTCGAAAATCATAACGTTCATAAAAGACAAACTGGGATCAAGCTTGGAAGTACTAGTTCAAGGTATAAAGAGACTGACAAATACAACCAGAAATGCACAATCTAAAGAGGATAAAATTGATGCATGGGACCTTCTAAAGAGTAAATCCATGTGTGCATCAAAAACTTCTTCCAGTAGGGTGGAAAGAAAACCTACAGACTGGGAACAAACATTTGGTAATACCATCTCAGACAAGAGTCTTATAACAAAAGTTTGCAGAATACTCCTGGGCCTTCACAAGAAAAAGACTGATAAACTAATTACAAAATGTGCAAAAGACATGGAAAGAATTTTCACAGCTGGTGGATTTGAACCTTATCCCTTTGGGATTACAGTGCAGCTTCTTACATTAGGTAGCCAGAACCCCCCTAATATGCATAACATAAGAGATATCTTTCCTTTTCTGTCTTTTCTCATTCCCAGTAAGTTTGATCCTACTCATAGGTGATTGTCCAGCAGGTTTTTGGAGGCTGTCAATTGCACAGGAAGAGACGGTCCCTCTTTCTCCCATGGAGCCACTGGAGGATTTGAACCACTGCAGAGGCCTGGCCTTTGGGTTAGTAGCACAATTTCCTACAGATGAGGACACCAGAGCTCCCTGTGTTATAGTATAATAAGTATGTATATGTTCACAGGCTCATAGTGACCCAATAGGACAGAATAGAATTGCCTCACTGCATTTCCCAAGTTCTCTTTTTTACAGGAACCAATTGCCAGGTCTCGCCTTTAGAACAGCAAGGCTAGCTGGTATGAACAACCCACCTTTGGGTTATTAGTCAAGCCAGCAATTTAACCATCTTTCAAATCATCAGAACTCACATATATTGTCACACATTACACATTTCCAATATTATGTGTCATGTATCGTAAGTTATGCCATTTATGTGGTACAATATTGAAAAGGAAGTCCCAGAATACTTAGAACTCATTGTAGAACGCCTACAATACATTTGTGTCAGGACAAAGGTGCTTAAAACCACTTAAAGCCAATTTAGTGTGTGTGCTTCTTTATTTTTGTTTGTTTGTTTATCTTTTAATTTTCTGATGCCCCCATGTCTTTAAATTTATATGGAATGTTTCCAATTCCCAATGACAAATAAAGATCAAATTTATATTAATAGACACTGAAAAGCAATGACGTCGGTCTAGAGACCAAGGTGTGCCAGATCCAGGTCATGGTCCTCACAATTACTTGTTATAGTTTAGAGACCTGGACAATGACTAAGGATGACAGAAGAAGAATCAATGCCTTAGAAATGTGGTGCTGCAGAAGAGACTTGAACATACCATGGATCACCAAGAAAACAAATAATTCTGTCTTGGAGAGAGTGAAACCACGTTTCTCTTTAAAGGATAGGATTTTGAAGCTCCATCTCACATATTTTGGGTATATGGCCAGGAGAGACAGGTCCTTGGAGAAGAACATCATGCTCAGAAGGGTAGAGAGACAGCACAGGAGAGGAGGACTTCAGATGGGATGGATTGATACTGTAATTGGGCCAATGGGATTTGGTATGTCTAAATTAGTGAGACTGGCTCAGGACAGGGCAAGGTTCAGAGCTGCTGTACATAGGGTTGCTACATAACAACAACAACAACAGTTAATAAATTGCTGTAATAATGAAAACGGAAAAAATTACATATTTATTTGAATTATATCAGAACAGACTTAGAACGGAGTCATACATAAATCAGAACTACATTTATTTTATTATATTGTACTAGAATAGCTATAAAAGAAAGTATCTGTAAAAAGACCTTAAATACTTTTCTTGGAGACCCAAGTTGAAAAACCTTTTGCTTACTATGAGTGTTGAATGCATGTAATCTTTAATCCATAGTTCATAATTAGGTGGGAAATATCAGTCATGACATTTTCCTGCTAAGAACATTGTTCCAGCAGAGAGACCAAGAAGTGAGTCCTTTTCTGAGAAATGGCTGGGCTGGAAAAGTTGACAGATAGTTAAGCACAGGTGCCGTGGTTGAGGCTTCTTCCTTCAGCCTCACTCCACCCAGGCAGACCAAATGCTGCACCACCTTATACCTCTGACTAAGGACCTTTAGTGCACCAGTGGAAGGAAACACAGTAGACTTCTCCAAAGGAAAGAAAAGATAAGAGCCACTTAGAGTAACATTTTTCACTTGTTTTTATTTTTATTTCTAGTTGAGGATGGTATCAGCTCCTCTCTTAGCGCTTTCCACCTCTAACTCTTCTTCTGCTCAATTACAGCAGGGAAGACAATGGACACAGCAGGAATGACCTTCCAAAGACCCCAGTCCAATAATTCCTAACTCCTTTTAACAAAAAATAACTGAGGACTTGTCTGAACTAGATAATTCAGAAATAATTATTAATAAAAAGAAAATGCATTATAATGCATCTATCTCCACTCCTAGTCAAGAAATAAAAAGATATATTACATTACAAAAAACTTCCAAAGTACTAAAGAGCAATGATGTCAGTTTGAAGAGTAAGGTGTACTTGGCCATAGGTTTTTTGTTTGTTTGTTTTTTAGCCAAGGTATTTTTAATTGCTTTCTGGGTATGTGAAAGTTGGACAATGAGCAAGAAAGAACAAAGAAGAATCCATGCCTTTGAATTGTAATGTTGGAGAAGAGTACTAAATATCCCATGGACTACCGAAAGAATAAACAAGTCTGTCCTGGAGTAAGTCAGCCAGGTGCTCCTTAGAGGCAAGGATGATGAAACTTCATCTCTCATATTTTGAGCACATTGTCAAGAGGTGCCAGTATTTGGAAAAGACATAATGTTAGGAGAGGTGGAAGGTCAGAAAAAGAGAAGATCCTTAACAAGATGCATTGATATAGTGACTATACCAGTGAGTCTGAGCATTGCAGAGATGGTGAGGGTAGGCTTGAGCATGGTAGAGCTGAAGAGATGGCATGAGAGACGTCACTTTCTATGTTACTGTCAGCTCAATGGCACCTAACAGAAACAGCAACCACATCTCCTTTACCGCCCCATAGCTCCTCCAATGTGCTCAAGGATGAGAAGCAGCTTTTGCAAAGATTTCTTGAATTCTTTGTCTGGAATCTCTCTTGGAGACCAGCTGTGTCAGAGGCTCTCCAGCTGCAGAGGGTGGGTGGCCCTTTTGTGTGCTCAGAGCAGTCGCCTAGACAGAGAAGACAGCAGCTGGGGCTGGCATGGCTCTCCTCCAATCTCTGGCCACCAGGATATTCAACTTGAAATCCACTCCCCTGTGCCCCTATCCTCACATTTGTAAATAGAGACCTGGCATAAGGCAGTTCCTTCACCTGGATCCCTGGTATTACACACCAGGTAATGGCAAGATGGCATTGGTAAAATAAAATTCAAGCCCCTTTACATATTTGCTGTTCACTCTTTCCTTGCTGAAAAAGATGGAGTGTCAGAGATAGAGAGTAAAACCCTCAACCAGATGGATAGACAGTGACTGTACCAACCAATGGGTTTGAGTATTGCAAAGATGGTGAGGATGGTGCAGGATAGGGCAAGTTTTCCCTTTGTTCTGTATAGAATTGTATCTATGAGTCATAGTCAATAGCACACCACAACAAAAGCAACTACCTTCACTCAACAGTCACCACTTTATCCTCATCTCACACCCTGTTCTCAACAGTGTTAACGGTACACCCACTAAAAGGACAAAGGAGCACGTTAGTGGTTGAGTGTCCTTGAGAAAGCTTCACCTTTAACCTTCCCACAATGAAACTTACATTCAAAATATACTTATGATAACACTAAAATGTATAAAGCATACACTCACAAGTCCTTTAGTTTCTATATATCTTGCACTAGGAAATAGGATAGTTTTGCATGATCGTGTGTGTTTATAGACAATAACACTTCCTCCACCCTGGCCCCATGGTTTGCATGTTCCTCTCCCACAGCAAGCCTGTTTTATACGTGTCTCCTCCTAGAATGCTGCACACAGTGAGGCACACCATGTGGAAAGAACTTGAAAAGATTCTTCAATACCTTCAGGTTCAAATAATTGATAGAAACCTTTACTTGAGCCATGTGACGCAGACAACTGAGATCATCCTCTGAGACGCAGAAACATCCATCAGCGGAGAGAACAGCGGTTTGTGTTGTAGGCATTTATTGATCCCTTTCTGGGCTCTGTGTCTGCCGAGTGTACTAGCCAGCCTCCAATCCCACTGTGGGCCAGTTCTGTCTCTTTGCTGAGTCCAAACTCTTCTTTACCCTTAACTTGTCATTTAATTACTTAGGGGAAAAGGAAAAATAAAAAGCACTCACCTTATCTCCTTCTTCAACCTCACATATTTTCTCTAGAGTTGAAGGATTATATGTAGGAAACTTTTTTCCACTCTTGGATTCATGCCATTCATTGTTGATAAATATCTAACCAGAAAAGAAGGTTGCAATGCATTAGGTTTAAATCAGAATCATATTCTTTTAACATGTGAAGAGCCTTAAGTAACATCTTTTCTGATTGTCTGCTCTGTGCTCAGTTATCTGACTAACCAGAAATGGACTTAGAACTCAAATGCATGTTTTCTGACTCATAATACATCTTTGAAGAATTAGCCTTTGCTATAGAAGATATCTTTTTCCCCCCAAACTTTCATTTTCTTCCTTTTAGCAATAACATGGATTTGCAGAAAGATAATTTAATTTGATAAAGCATGTAAATTGAACTCTGTGCATCCATAAAATATTGGAGAAGATTAAATGTATAGGTGTTGTTGTTGTTATGTGCCATTGAGTTGAATATGACTGATAGCAACCCTGTAAACAACAGATCTGAATCTTGCCCTATCCTGTGTCATCTCTGTTCTGCACAGGCCCAACGTGGTAGTCACTGTGTCACTACATCTCATTCAGGGTCTTCTTATCTTTCATTGACTCTAATTTTCCCAGAATGATGTATCTGTTTTTAAAAACCAACATACATAAATGTGTGTGTGTGTGTGTGTGTGTAAAACTAAACCATCTACCTGCTTTTGTAGGTATTTTCTCTTTGCCCTTTCCTGGTACCACCTACCCTTCTCAAGTAGACTTCTGCCCAGAGAATCACTTTTCACAAAGAATAACCCTCTTGTCTTCCTTGGTGTATATCATGCCCTCCCTCTTCTTTTTAAGCAAAGTAGACTTCAATTTTGAAAGACAAAGGTATATATGTAGGTTACAAATATTTTAGGTTATATACTATTAAGAGATATATACAATATCAAGTTATATGCAGACTGAAAAAAATTAACTATAGTGCAGCCAGGACACAGATGGGAATGGGAGCATTTGAAAGAAAGAAAGAAAGAAAGAAAGAACACTTTTACATCCTAAAATTTCACCAAGTTCACACACTGAAATGTCTATGTTGTTGTTGATTGTCATCGAGTAGAGCACGACTCATAGTGACCCTATTAACAAAAGACCTGAAGGCTTTCTCTAACTATCATCATTTCTCAAAGTTCATAGAGTTTCCAGAGGTATGTTGTTTAGGAAGTGGATGCCATTCCTGCTTACAAAAAAAGTCTATACTATTTTTTCTTAATTTACTCTGAATTCTACTGCTTAGAAAGAATCCATTAAAAGAGCGAAGGGCTTCCAGAAAAGAACTAAAAACAGAGACAACAGACAGCATAGAAAACACGGTCTGACAGTGGAGGTAGTAGCTGGCCAGAGGAAGGAGTTAGCCTACTGAGCTTTGTCCTTGATGTCCGTGGAGGACTAGGAGACACCAGCTATGAGAAATGTGTGAGGCAGCTTAGAAGCACTCCCACTGCTGGAAATGTTGACCTCAAACTATCCCCAAAGTGCCCTATAAACTAAGTAATAGCTTAATTCAAAGGGTAAAGATTCTTACCCTTGAGTGTAGTGAGACGGATATATCAGAAAGGGATACATCTTTTCATTCCTTTTAGAAGATCAACATCTATTTTAAGCATAGGAAAGAAAGTTCAGGACAGGGAGGTTAAGTGAATGGAAGTGAAACAATCAGAACAGAAACCATGAGGGTGTTGACATATGTGAAGAATGTTTCAATGATCTTTATGCCGAGAAACTGGAATTAAGAGCAAATTTTGCTGTAGATATTTTAACCAAAAGGAAAATTAAATAATGAAAAAGAAGCTGCAGTTATATAAAATGAAATATCATCCATTATTTGCAAGTATAGAACTTACTCATTAGACCAAATTTCTACATCCCTAGCTTCTCTTCAAATTCTTTAAATTGCGTCACTATTAAGGCGAACTTTGATTACTGTGAAACACAGTCATTTGGAACACCTGACTCCCATCAGTGACAGATGAGAGCATTGAGGTGTGGCTGGCTATGTTCCCTGTAACCACGGCTTTCAGCTTGCAGTCCGCAGCACATCAGGAAGAAGGTGTGATCCTGAAGCTGCTGGCCAGCCCTGTTCTGTTACCTCCCCATGCAGGCAGAGCACAGGAGCAAGTTAAGCTGGCCAGGTGGGCAAAGCCATGCTCGCCCACCAAGAGATCCAGAGCTGAGGGCATCCTGAAGCAGGAGGGCTGTGCCTCCAGCTCCTGGAAGCTCAGCCACTCCACAGGAGCCCCAGGGAAGCACCAGAGGGAAAGGGTCAGGCTACAATTACAGGTTTATTCTTCCAGCTGAAACTAAATCCAAGAGTTCACTTTTGCCATCTAGCAAGTAATCACTCAGTACCAGCAAGAAATTAATAAGGGAGAGGAGGAGTCAGTGCAGGTAGGAAAGAGCAGCTAGCAAGAGGAAGATGAAATTTCGTGGGTTAGATAATAGACTCCCAGTAAAAGTTGCTGATTCTAGGCCCTTCCTGGTATCAGTTCCATGGGGGGGGAGGTGTGTGAGGAAAATGAGACCGTAGTGGAAGAGAATAAAAGAAGGGCAATGGAAGCAAGCAATGATCAGATGTCCGCGAGACCTCATCTTCAAGCATGTGCTTCAGAACCCCATTATATGGTTATCCACAACTGATTTGCAAATCTTTTCTAACCAGCAACTTTAGAAAGACTTACTCTTCCCATATTTTCCCATTACAGTGCTTCCAATTGAGGAAATATTTTCCTTACATTGTACTAAAAAAGTAATTTTATGAGTGGTTTCTCCTGCTGACTTTCTCTCTTCTTACACCAAACAAAACCCACACATTAGAAGGGGAATCAATAGTATGGCCTGTGAAGGGTACTGTATTTTTCAAACCCTGAGTCAGTATCAAGGACTGGAGGGTAATCCGTCTCCTTTAACTTGGCAGTTTGTAGGGAACAAGCCTTTCAGATTCATAAAAATGAAGTTGTACTGAACCATTTTACAGAAGAAACAGAACAATCTGGAACTAGATGAGGCTGACACACTCCACTCATTCTGCTGCCCGGGTGAGGGTGAAGATGGTCACGGCTGTGGCACCAGGCATTCTGCTGCCGCCATTTCCATTAACTCCCATGGGCCCCTGGGCCGCTCAGCTAAATGCTGAAGCACGTACACCTTCAGGGAGAACTTTCAAAGAAGGAAGTTTAAAAATTTTAGCTTATTTTTCATAAGAGTGAAAATGAAACAGCTGTAATAAACCAGAAAACATTAAAGAGAATCTGCTACTACAAGAAACTATAAGGAAAAGAAGAAAGTGGTCCCCTGAGGCCTGTAGAGGAAGCCCCACTGGCCAGCACCTGGAGAATGTGAGAACCTGAGGCCCAGCAAAGCAGAGCTGACCAAGTTCTCCTGATGCCGGCCAGTGCAAAGGGCTCTGCTGAGGCCAGGGCTTGGACCAGGCGTCTGAGCAAGTCCTCCACCAGCAAGAGGACAATGAGTCAATTCTGAAGAACGGAGGATTCAGGCATCCTAGCACTCCCCACTGCCTGCCCTGAGTCTCCAGCCCCAATCCGGTTTCTCCTCTTATTTTCCTTGGGCCTGTCACTCACTGTGCAACTGGAGGCTCCCTGAGCACAAAGCAGGTACCCAGGCCCTGCTGTGTCGCCAGGAACAAGACTGGAGCAGCTGCCCACAATGCAGGCAGGATGGGTCTCCTCCGGTCAGGAGCCCCTGATGACTTGGCTTGGCCAACCCCTTCTCTCTCACCACCTCAGCTCAGCTTAGCTTTAAGCAGATATACAACTTTATTTTCTTTTTTTTTTATCAACTGGCATATAAGGGAGGCATATACTATATAGATTATATAGTATAAACACTCATTGCTTGCTTAGTGAAGCTAAAGATCCTCCATAAGGCCCCAGTGCAATTTTCAGGCCATCCGAGAGGGAAAGTGGATTATATCCTAGTTGAGGGCTTTGCTAGGACAGAGGGTAGCCAGCAGGAATAGATTTACTTTTTGGTTTCTTTGTAGGCGTTTTGCTGTGTGTTTCTGGGTTGTTGTTTTGGGTTGTTTGGGTTGTTTTGTGTTTTTGGGTTTTTTTTAATCCTTAAAATGGGGGAAGGACAGTCAGAAACAAAGACACTCTAGTGTTTAGGTAAAAAAAAAAAAGAAAATCTGAGATAATATTCTTAACAGTTTCCCTGGATTCTCGTTGGAATTTTTGCTCTGAAGCTGATACTCCTAAAGAAACGACATTAAAAATAATCTCCAGCAATCACCATCTCGTTGATTAGAGGGCCCGCTGAAAACACTTAATTTAAATGTCATGTGGACACAGGCAAGCGCGACACTGGGAATTGAGTGCCAGGAGCCCGTAATCTGAAGGCCACACAAGCTGGCCGGCTGCTCCACTTGATTAAAAGTATTTGAGAGCCATAATTGCTCCTTTTGAAAGTAAAATTATCAGAACTGTCTAAGTGGAGTTGGGGCCACAGCTAAAACGCAGAACCTAGATCCTGGATTGGGGAAAGTCCCGGCTTGAGGGCAAGCAGCGCCTGGGGTGTGGCTTGGGCCGGTGCAGGACTCCTTGGTGGCCTCAGCTGTGGCCGCCACGTAATGTCACAGTTCTGTGGCCTCCGTAGCTTCCTGGCCTGCAGGGCACTATGGTGGGCACCACAGACCTGGGCTTCCCGACCTTTCCAGCGCCGGCACCCCGCTCTTCCTCCCTAAACACCGCAGTGGTCACGGTAGTCTCCTCAAGGGAGCACCTTCCCAGGTCCCCAAGTTCTCTCGGTGGCCCAGGACAAGCTGACCATAGACACTCAACGTTTCAGCGGAGCTCCGGGGCCAGCCTCCCCAAGGGGATTTTACTTTCAGAACGTTGTTGGCGTGTTGGCTCTCTGCATCCCCAAACCAGAGCCTTTGGTCCGTGAGTGGAGGAGCTGCGTGGGCAGGTCCCTGCATTCGGCCGGCCTGCAGAGCCCCTCCAGGACGCGTGGGCGCCGGCCCGGCGCCACTTCCCGCCCAGGGTGTTAGCTGTGCTTCTTGGGGCGCCCGAAGCCCTGACACGCTCAGGCCGGGCGGCGTCTGCGACCAAGCCCTCAACTCTCCAAGCGCGCGCCTGGTCTGCCGGGTTTAGGGTGGCCCGGAGGGCCTGCGCGAACCCGGGCGGCCGTTCAGTGGGAGCCCCCCCCCTCCCCGCTCACCTGGGTGAACTTGACCTCCAAGTTGCGGATGGGGCGCGGCAGGGCCGGCGGTCTGGGATCGGGCTGCCCGTTCTCCACCGCCCCGTTGGTGGTGGCCATGGCTCCAAGTGCAGGGAGCCGCTCAGCTTGGGCTGTGCGCAGCCTGTTGGGGGTGACCGCCCCGCAAGGCTTTATGAAGCGCCCCACGCCTCCCGCCCGAGGGGGAGTCTAATTGGCTGCAGGACTGGGAGTGAGGGCGGGCGGGAGGGAGGGCAGGGGGCCAGCCCGCTCCACCACCTCACTCGCACGCCCCTGTGAGCGGCCACCGCACCAGCCCGCTGGGAAACTCGCTGCCCGGAGCACCACGGGCCCCGGAAGT